AGGGACATGGATGCAGCTGGAAACCATCATTCTCAGCAAACTATCACAAGAACAGAAAACCAAACACCGCATGTTCTCACTCATAGGTGGTAATTGAACAATGAGATGACTTGAACACAGGAAGGGAACATCACATACCAGGGCCTATTGTGGGGAGGGGCGATGGGGAAGGGATAGCATTAGCAGATATACCTAATGTAAATGATGAGTTAACGGGTGCAGCACACCAACATGGCACATGTATACATATGTAACAAACCTGCATGCTGTGCACATGTACCACAGAACTTAAAGAATAATTTAAAAAAAATAAAAAAGAGAGATCGATCATGATAATAGAGGTCTCAAGTTTTCTTTCAAACCCTCAACTGTACTTCAAAACTTGGTGCCAAAAACATGATTACTAGTACTCTAAAGAGTTTAAATGACAGCTTTATTGCCTGCACAAAACAATGACAGCTTTGATAAAAAAAGCTCTATTTTCAATTTTCGGTATCTACATTTCAAATTAGTTCAAAGCATTGATTATATCACTACAACAGAATAATCCACGTTTATAGAACTCTATGTATTATATTGTATCAAAGGTAAATAAGCAGAAATGTACACTACTGGTTTAAAAATAAATAAATGTTTACCCTTTCTACGGGGTGCTGTCCAAAGAAATCTGGATGTACTGCAAAATAGAAAGGCCTCAAGGCATTGACTGCTTCAGCTCCTGATAAAGCTCTTGAATAGGGAAACCAGTGTGGAAATATCTTCTCTAGACATAACCTTTTAAAAAGATGTGGGCTGGTTATTCATTGAGGCACTCACACACACACAAATCCTCAATGTATAAGGTGACAATAAAATTAAACGTACTATGCACAGCAGAAACAAGATAGATACTTCACAGTTTTCTGAAACCTATTAGTTTTACAAGCGGTGAGTACCACATGATTTCTAAAACAGTGGTTATAGTTTTTTCTTGTGCAAAATGAGAAATATTAAATAATATTATAATTTCCCCTCAATACTCCACTTTGAAATTCAGCTGACTTCACTGCAAATGGTAACAATTTCCTTTCTAATTTTCTTATTCAGATAAAAAAATCTTAATATCCAATAGTGTAATTCTCTCTCTATATCTATATCTCTCTCTTTACATCTATCTCTTTCTCTTTCTTTCTTTCTTTCAGACAGAGTCTTGCTTTGTTGCCCAGGCTGGAGTGCAGGGGTGCGATCTCTGGGGGTCAAGTGATCCTCCCACCTCACCCTCCCAAGTAGATGGGACTACAGGCGCCTGTCACCACACCCAACTAGTTCTTTTGCTGATCTCAAACTGCTGGCCTCAAGCAATCCTCCCGCCTTACCTTCCCAAAGCAATGGGATTACAGTCATGAGCTTCCATGCCTGGTTCAATTTTTTCTTTATAGTAGCAAACATTTTGATAATTATTATACTTAAAAAGAGATACAGATGTCTTTTAGCTCATTCCCTCATTATTAGCATGCTAAAATTATACTAGTTGGATAACTTGATATTCTCATTCTTTTCTTTTGAGACGGAGTCTTGTTCTGTTGCCCAGGCTGGAGTGCAGTAGCATGATCTCAGCTCACTGCATGCAATCTTCTGCCTCTTGGATTCAAGTGATTCTCCTGCCTCAGCCTCTCAAGTAGCTGGGACTACAGGCGTGTGCCACCACTGCCGGTTAATTTTTTTTTTTTTTTTGTATTTTTAGTAGAGACAGGGTCTCACCATGTTGGTCAGGCTGGTCTCAAACTCCTGACCTCAGGTAATCCACCCGCCTCAGCCTCCCAAAGTGCTGGGATTACAGGCATGAGCCACCACACACAGCCGTGATATTCTTAAGTTTTGTAACCCACTTGAGAGTGTTTTTTAAAAGTACAGTGTTTAAATCCAAATGAAATTATTTGCGGTTTTTTGAAAGCACTTCCACGACACCTATTTTTAAATGTTATCATTTACCTTTTCCATCCTAAGCTTTTATTTATTTATTTACTTTTGAGACACAGTATCACTCTGTTGCCCAGGCTGGAGTGCAGTGGTGCGATCTTGGCTCAACCTCTGCCCCCGGGTTCAAGAAATTCTCCTGCCTCAGCCTTGCAAGTAGCTGGGATTACAGGTGCATGCCACCATGCCCAGTTAATTTTTGCATTTTTAGTAGAGACAGGGTTTTGCCATGTTGGCCTGGCTGGTCTTGAACTCCTGACTTCAAAGGATCTCCCTGCCTCAGCCTCCCAAAGTGCTGGGATTACAGGCGTGAGCCACTGTGCCTGGCCCAACCTAAGCTTTTTATAATGAAGTCTCTAAACATTGCACATGCCTCTGTTCTCATACATTAGGTGTGCCAAGTCTTTAGAAAAGTTTTATGTTTTTAAAATGGTAGAGATTGTGGAATCATTTCTGGTGATTTTTAAACAATCTGGAGACCACCAATCTATTTGCAGATTATCTTTTATTCCTCCCATATATTTGAACCTTTTATAAAGTCAATATATGGATTTGTACCTCAAGGATTAGAACAGGAGTTTAAAGCAAAGGAAACAATCAGCCAGGATTAAATATGAGCTAGTCTAAGTAAACCACAGTTGCAACTCCACTTATCCCTCTGAGCTTCCGTTCTCATTTCCCAGCGTCTGACATACACTTAGCTCTCCTGCCAGCTGCTCAAATTTTGCGTATCTCAAAAAGGAGTACAAGTCATTATTGTCTTTTTAAATTCAGCCTGGTTACAGAAGGCCAGGCAGCAGCTAACAACTCAATCCAGGATTATCTTCCTTATTTTTGTTATTGTGGTACCACCTTTCTCAATGTTGTAAAGCACAAAACCCAGAATAGTTCACTACCCCCATTCACTTTCAGTTAGTAAAGTCTTCTCATTTTACAATGTTCAATGAAATCATTCCTTCTTCCCACGTTCTCTGCTATCAATTATCATCACTACAAAACTAGACTGTACAGTCTCATAATTAGTCTACTCTGCTGTCCCTTTCTCTAGCTATATTGGGTATCACCAACAGATTAACTTTCCTAAAAACCCACCATCACTGTATTCCTTACTCAAACAGCTTTGGTGGTGCCCTAATTCCTGCGAATAAATCCACTCCTTAGTCTGGTATTTGAAACCCTCTTTCATTGTTTCCCCATCTGTCTTTCCAACTTGATCTCCAATCATTCCTTATAGAAACCCTTAGTTCCAGGTCCCAATAATCTTCCTCATTTTCCCCTTTTTGTCCTACATAATTTCTAAGTCCTAATGCATCCTCCCTGACCTGCATTTTCACCTATCCAAACTGAACAATTACTGCACACCTGTCATGCTCCAGGAGGCATTGTATCTATTCCCCCAGAACCTTCCCTTCTGTATTCTCATTAGTATCTCCCTCTTTTAAACTCTAAAGAAAAGAAACTGTGTGCCCTAGATGCTTGAAACGTAATACCATAAAGTGAATTGTGTTAAGAGGAAACTTGATCTGTTTTTCTGTTTAAGCTTTTCACACCTAACTATTCTGAAGGACAGTATTCTTTTCACCTTCTACTCTGAATGTACTCTTGGAGGACCTGTCTTATATAAATTTTCTTTACTTTTTTGTTCCAGCTTTCCACCATAATAGAACTTCAGAATTAGAAAAATAGTAACAAACTGAAATAAACCAAATGCATAACAGACCTCCCCCGCCACCCCCACAATACTAATTACAGATTGGACCACGATACTTACCTCCTCATAGGTCTCAGGTGGCAAAACATTTCTGAATATATATGTACGTCAACTTCCAGGCATCCATTAATTGCTTAAAAGTTAAGCAGATATCACAAATGAACAAGTAGAATTTTAAATGTAAAACACATTATGATTTATATTATCACCCCAAATATGAAATACTTAGTTA